CCTTGCTAGCATCCTATCAACAAAGCCCTGTGGTTTATACAGCAAGACTTGGAGTTCTACATAATCACCCAGTCTTGTAAGCTTCCTATCAACAAAGCCCTGTGTTTTATACAGAAGTAAGATTTGGAGGTCCTATATAATCACCCAGCCTTGCTAGCATCCTATCAACAAAGCCCTGAACATGTGGTTTATACAGTTAGATTTGAACGTTCTATATAATCACCCAACCTTGCTAGCTTCCTATCAACAAAGCTCTGTGATTTATACAGTCAGATTTGAATTTTGAAAGCTAACAATTCAAGTCCTGTCAGCTTCAAACATTCCAGCAAAGACAAAGCTGATCGATATAAAAACAAATTTTAATAGTTTAATCTATGGGATAAATTATGTTCCATAAACACACGTTTTAAACTAAAGCCGTTTAAATGTGTGTATATATATATATGGGGCAAAGAAGTAATTCCAACAGTGTGGACAACATTGCTAGGATAAGATACCTCCATTAGGATCCAGTGTTATACGGGATTTTACCGTCTATATTACTTCTTTGACCAATATATATATAGAGAGAGAGAGAGAGAATCAATACCGGGACTTGCACTTCTTCCTGTCTAAACGCTTTTTCAGTAGCATCCACATTGGGACCTGAGAATTTGTTACAGCTGTATTTATTTATACGTCTCTGTTCAGAGTATTTTTACATGTTTTAGGGGTTTAGATCGACTTTCAGTAAAAAATGACACCCCAATGCTCATATACAATCCTAGAAAGTGTACAAACCAGTGACTATAAGTCACAAACATGTTTTACTCCAGGAAGGTTCTTCTATAAAGGCCGAAATTAAAGATACAGATATAGCTGTAACAAATTATCATGTCCCTGTTCACGTGGTAGCATCCTATATATATATTTTACTTACCGAAAACAGATATGTCATAATTTCTCAGTTTCAGCTGATCCAGCATGAATAGCTTCACTCTTTCCCCAAGTCTTTTTTCTCTTGCCGACCCAACGAACACCACAACCTTCAGTCTTTCAGAAGTTGTCTTCGACGCCATTCTGATTGCTGTCTTGTATGCACGGTACATTTGCCTGCTAGCCTACTGACGCCGATTGCCGGAGTTGTCTACCTTTATATTCAGCAACGTCGGGGTTAAAAACTAGAATGAACACTATATTTCGATTATAAAAATGCGGAAAAAGCGATACTTTATATTTGGTTAATTTATTTATAAAGCTAACATCAATAAAAAAAAATTAAAAAAAATGATAAAACGAAATGTAATTAACAGTTACTGCCAAATTGTAGGACTTTGATTAGAACGATTGTCAGACGATTCGCCCCAAAACGCCACAAGCTATTTCGTCTCAAAAAACTACAACGCCCTAAAGTTTCGTCCATAAAAGTCACTTATTTGAAAAAATTTAAAGTGAAATATTCTAAAGATAGAAATAAAAAAAAATCTGTTGCAATTCGTTTGATGTTTGGGACATAGTTTTTGTGCCGTAGATCGATAACTGACCATATCTATAGTATCTATATATGTTAGGCCTGTATTTGTATATATTAGATTGTATACACTGCTATAGATCATTGGATTATATACAGGGTACATGCGTGCCGTAGATCGATATCGTAACGTATCTATATAGTATCCATGTTAGGCATGTATTTGTATATTTTAGATGATATTATATACACTGTATAAGATAACTAGATTATATACACGGGTGTCGTAGATCAAAACAAAACAAAACGAGATCCATTATGTTATGTGTGTTGCAAAAGGGAGTGTGTACATACTGACTAAAATATGTACAAAATTAATTTGCAGTGTATAGAGGGTTCTGGGTTGTTTCGCCCCAAATCCCGTTCGCGCTAGGTTGTTTCGCCCTAAAACATTTTTTTAGGGCAAAACATTTTTCATTGTTTGGTATTTTCTTTTCATTCTTATTTGTTTTAAGTCACAAATTAAGTCTTCTTAGTCTTCCATATCATTAAAATCAGGAAAATTTGGATGAAAATTGTAAGTGGAGTACCCATATTGAAAATATTTGTATATACGTAAATTGAAATTCATTTTGAGTATCTATGGCCTACAGGTGGTTTTTTTTTTTTATGAAAACAGAAAAAAAATCTTAATGAGAAAATAATTTCTAGCAGTGAAAATGCATAGAACAGATATAAAACCAATTGAATGTGAATTTTTGAACTTTTGTTTAAACATATCTTATTGCCAAAAAATGCAAGAGGATTGGACACAAGTTACATGAACATTATTAACGCCTTTTCCTTATAAGATAAATAATTGTATATACACATCATAAGATGGCTTCATAGTTTAAATCAATACATCTATCTATTATTGAGAGAGAGAGATAGAGAGAGAGAGAGAGAGAGAGAGAGAGAGAGAGAGAGNCAGACAGACAGACAGACAGACAGACAGACAGACAGACAGACAGACAGACAGACAGACAGACAGACAGACAGACAGACAGACAGACAGACAGACAGACAGACAGACAGACAGACAGACAGACAGACAGACAGACAGACAGACAGACAGACAGACAGACAGACAGACAGACAGACAGACAGACAGACAGACAGACAGACAGACAGACAGACAGACAGACAGACAGACAGACAGACAGAGACAGAGTCAGACAGAGAGAGAGAGAGAGACACAGAGAGAGACAGAGAGAGACAGAGAGAGAGAGAATATTACTTATTCATTGCAGTTTATATAATGTACATCTCAATATTCAACATATAATGCACACATTCATTCTTACTTTTATTTACAAATTATGGTAGATTTTTAAATTTGGTCATGAAAATGGAACCATCCACCACACTCAGCGCAGTGATATCCTGGCACTATTCCATACTTTCAACTATTCAACATTTTTGAACTGCTGAGATAAAAGGTATTGTTAATATGATCACGGAATAAGTCCATGATATGATACTGCAAATATAGCCATCTCCACTATAACTATGAAAGTGATGCGGTTTTCCAGACTTAAAAAAAAATACTTTTAACACTTTCCCATCCGAGCACCAACTTTTGAATATGCTTTTTTATTCCGTGATGTAATATGCAAAAACAAATCGTATTCCAGAAAAGCGGTCCTGAGGTGTTTCTTGGGATAAAACAGTTTGTATTTCCATCTTCATCTATGTCCGATGTAGCCGAATGTGTAACGCAGTTCACTTGTGACCACACGAAGTGAACGGTGCAAGTTCAACTCCAGGTTCAGGTTTTTTTGGGTGATCGAATGGAGTGAATCTTTGAAGGGTGATGAAATTGGCTAGTATTAAGGATCCTTGTACCACTGCACTGCCAGAAACTGTAACTACGCATCGGAAAAAGTTTCATTTGTTCGTAGGACTATAGCTTTTATAAATCATTTCTGAAAAGCAAACTATACCTTGTGTGACTTACCATATAAATGAAAAATACACTTGTAATAGATATATAATAAAAATATAACAATTAAATGTTCTGAGTGTAAACATTCAGCGGGGATAGACCGGGATTTATACAGTAACACTCGGAATTCTACATTATCACCCAGACTTGTTAGCTTCCTATCAACAAAGCCCTGTGTTTTATACAGTAACACTTGGAGTTCTACATAATCACCCAGACTTGTTAACTTCCTATCAACAAAGCCCTGTGTTTTATACAGTAACACTTGGAGTTCTACATAATCACCCAGACTTGTTAACTTCCTATCAACAAAGCCCTGTGTTTTATACAGTAACACTTGGAGTTCTACATAATCACCCAGACTTGTTAACTTCCTATCAACAAAGCCCTGTGTTTTATACAGTAACACT